GCTACGGTGCACTGCCAGGGTCGATAATCCCAAGCCGCAAGAGATTGGTCAGAAGATTTGGCCGCCTGCCGGTTCAGCATCTAGGCGAACTCTGATTGGTCGAAAATTTGGACACAACGGCCAATCACGCTTCAGTATCCGCTGAATATACGGCGGTCAAAACATCAGCGTCAACACTGATGTTGTCGTCTTTGATGATGATGACGATGATCCGCTGAATGCCGGTTGCCATCTGGTGTCCAAAGGCATCTGAATATCCACAATACTTAAAAGTCACTGGTCTTCGACCGCAAAGATAACATCCGCTCCAAGAAGTAACGCAGACTTGTGTTGTTTGCAGTCTAACGCCAAGGAATTGCGTTAACATTTTATGCGAAAAATCAAATCTCCAATCAGCACTCAAAAACTGTTCGAAAGTGCTTTCGTCTCGTGTCGTTGTACTCCATCGAACTGCTCCCTGGAAGAAATCTCCCGTTCCCCTGTACACCATTTTTAATTAGGAAGAAGTTGAGACGGGTTGGAAAATAGCGTAACACAGGAGAAACGACACAGAAGACCCCACTCTTGTGGATAACTAACACGGGGTTAAAAACAGAACCGTCGAAGAAACATACCACTCAGGTTTTTCTTAAAGTCTGTCAGAGTCATCGGAACATTTTGTTTCTTGGAGTTGGGGTTGTGTTGGTCGGTATTCAGCATGAGTATGGCGTAAGCAAGGGTGAAAGCAGAGTCGACGTCGACAAACGGGGCATTGTTTGCGACGAACCAGTGCTCGGCGAAGTGCTCCACCAGCCGCTGAATAAGTGGAGCCTCCCCGGGCAACCGGAACGCTTCCAGGTAGGCACGCAACGCCTCGTCGATTTGGACGCCGGCAAAATTGAACTGTCTGGAGAGCACGAAAAATAATATGTAAAAAATGGCGTGAAAGTCCATCTACATGGGGAGTTTGTCGAAGTTTGTGCAAAAAGGATTCAAGTAACACAACCCAGTGAAATTTTAACGAAATGACGCAAAAATTGGTTCTTGAAGTCCAGTGCTTGAAATCAGCCTCAGTGAACACGGTCTTTCAGCCTTGGTGCCCATTTGGCATGTCACCTGAAGGAAGTACGAGGGGTAAGATACTGCCAGGGTTTCCCAAACCTACGCAGGAGAAGTTGAGACGCAGAGGTTCGAACCACAACACGGTCTTTCAGCCTTGGTGCCCATTTGGCATGTCACCTGAAGGAAGTACGAGGGGTAAGATACTGCCAGGGTTTCCCAAACCTACGCAGGAGAAGTTGAGACGCAGAGGTCGGGTTCGAACCACGGACCTTCAGGTTAGTAGATTCGCGTACTAACCAAGATGAGAGAGGATTTCAACATATTCTATTTATTCTGAAGACTGTGCGTGTCTCCCAAAACAAAAGTTTGGTTCAGCTGCAAATAGTTGAATAAACATTCTAATGGAGACTATCTGTTCCCCTTCCCGAAATAGACAGTTCCTCCTAGCCACGACAAACAGAGACCGACTAGTCTCCATCCTCGATTATACGCATCACCAGTCTACGAAAGATCTATTCCACTTACCTCACATAAGCAGCAAGAACATCGCTATTTTTTCGGTCGCTCAAATATTCCCCAATCATCCGCTTGTCAAGCCTGGGATTTTCACGCAGAAAATGGGCCAACTCGTCCGGATCGAGCGGCGTTCGTAGTAGACCATTCTTTTGTAGAAACGCTATGCCAGCCTTGGGTGAAATGTTGAACTGGTCGGAACCCAGGATCAGGATCTGAGAACAAGAGAAGGAAGGAAGTAGGCGGTTGCTTTACAATCAGGGCGAGGGGGGGGGGGAATTTGCTCCCGATG